TACTGTTCTAAATCTGAAACTCTAGACTGACACCAAGGGAATTAAGTTCTTCCTTTTCCTGTTATTTATAGATTGAACAGCAGTAAGAGCCATATGTTCTTTGCACAGAAATATTAACAATGAAAAAATATAATTAAATTCACAGCAGAGGAGCTTTATTCAGTATTAAAGCAGGATTGGGATACTGTATATGATGGGTATACATTAAAGTATTAAAACACTATTCTGAATTTCATAATATGTTCAACTATTCTTTTAAATAACAGTATCACAGTTTCCAACTTACAAAGAGTAATATTCCCTTTAAGGCTATAGGTAAATATTTTCAAAGTATGTTTGAATAATGTTCAACATGTACTTTCTCCAAAGAAGTTGGTGCCTCTAAATTTTCAGCAAAGAAGCAACATATAAACAGAATATACCAGGAGAAACACAATTTCAATAATGAACACTTGCTAAAGGAAGCTGACATTACATTGAGCTATTCTGAGTATCTTTTAAAAAGCAGGTCAAAGTAAAATATAAAGGCTTTGGTAGGTTTGCATGTAGAACTATTTTGAGTGAAAAATCCATTCAGAAATTCATGCTTTCATAAGTGATTTAGTTATGCTTTGCTGAATCAGTCAGAGATGTTACTTTCTCTAAAGGTGACATTATTTGTAATGAGGCAATTGGCCACCGTGTTTCCTTTAGCATTTAAATACACCTAAAATACAACATTGTGCTGACGTGGCTTTATTTAGACTATGGAGGATGAAAGCAATTTTTAGGAACTTAGTTTTGAATTTCAGTATTTTTTGAGAACATGAAAATTCACTAGACATCACATCCTGGAGTGAATAGTAACAGTTATGGCACAAGCTGTCACGTGTACTTTCCTAATAAGCTTTGCTATGACAAAACTCTTGTTTCAACAATGCCTTTCGCATCCCAGTCTGAAGGTTAGATTCAGGTTTGTAACTCCTTTTCCTGCTTGGAAGAAAGAAGTGCTATTCATCAACATGTCATTAATCGGTCTGGCTGTGCAGAAGGGGCAGGCTTTTTGCAGTCCGAACAAAAGGTCTGAACAAAATCACAGATGTAATTCCCCAGAAACTGTACCCTCCGTGGGCTTGTACCACATTGACAGCTGTAACCTCCCAGCCCCTAATTTCTCCTTATACCTGATGCAGAGAACAACCTTTCTCATTTCACAGTGTAGCATTGTATAGGCCCAAATACTGATATCCTTGTGGGCTTCTCATTGACAGCTGTTGTCACCCAGGTCTCCCCAAGATTGAGCTATGGCCAGTTAATTTTCATTTAGTTTCAAGATTTAGGGAAGCAGGTAAAAACAATCTCATGTTATTGCTGGGACAAGACAATGCAAAGTGAAGTTTATTTCCAGCAGCCAACTTGTAAGACCAAAACAACACCCTTTCATCAATGACAGTATATAAAACAATTAAGAGTATCTGAGAGCTTGTTTCACTGTTACCTCTTAAGAATGGCTGTTCTTCCTGTTTAACAATGCATTCAGGAGCAGAAATACCTGAAGCAGTTTGGCTGGGTATTAGAAGCATGTAACTATGATAACTGCATGACTGACAGGACTTCCTAGTTGACCTAGCTGCTTTTTTACCCTGATACCCAAATCAGTTTACTGAGTATTTATTAGGTTAGCTCAACATTGCAGCCCTTTGCGCAGCATAGATAAACTAAAGGGTAAGGGGATAAGCTTTACAAATCATGCCCACAGGGAGTTTCACACGTATAAGTCAATCTATCATGGTTATAAAAAAAAAATAAAATTCTAAACCTGAAGAAATAAGGGATGAAGCATGGGGGAAGGGAGTGTTCAGCAATGTTCACAGTTTTCTGTCACCACTTCTTTTCATTACGGGTTGTGATATGGTGTTGCATAAACTTGTGGTGTCAAAATAGAGCAAGAGGAAGTGAATAAAAGCAAGAATGGTTAAGTAGTATATCCATATTTTAAGAGGGTTTCTAGCCAATCAAACAGAAATACCGGGGTAGAAAGACTGTCAGGGACATCAGTAAAGTTTTCTGCAACCCCATTAACTAACAAAGGAGACTCCTCTGTAACGAGGTGAAAAAAATAACACTTGGTCAGCTAGGAAATTTTCTGAAATACTCAAATTTCTGTGTTCAGAGAGGTCAGAACATATTAAAAAGTAATTTCCCCACACATGTATTTTTGCCATTTTCTTTTATTTTTCCATCTCCAGAGACTTTTGGCACACCAGAGTAGATGTTACTATTACCATTTGAATTTTTGCTCCAAGTTCCCATCTGCTATGGCAAGAAGTGTCATGTTCATGCTTTGCTTGGAATGATAAATCAACACAATACCCTAGTCTTGTGTGTCACTCTACATATGTCGTTAATCATCAACATCAAAACAGCATCTCAATTCAGAAAAGACAGATTGAAACATAAAGGACTGAACATTTATGATTTATTCTTTTGAATCAAGAGAATACTCTCTGATATAAATAATATTTTCTGATTGGGATCCAAAATGCCTCAACCAGTATTTAAAAAGACTCTTGACAAAACATGACAGGCAGGCAGCAACATCCAGACTGTGACTGTGAAGTATCTTCCATGTATGTTTCAGATGGCTCAATTTAATGTTTTAACTCTGGCAGCTCAGGCAATGAGATTATCCAACTCTGGTGGAGCAGGATAACCCTCAAGTAAGTGTTGATGTTCCTCTACAAGGGTATATAAGTTCAGCTGCACATGAACAGCATGAAAACTTTGGAAATACATCAGGTATTATAACTATTATGAATTTTATGCCAAAAATTGTATCCAACATTTCTGATTGTGTAACTTTTCAAAGTAATTATTTTGAATGAACAAGAATGGTTTCCATGGGAATGTGCTAACATTTGAATGGAACTTCACCTATAATAAGCACACAGAAGAAGTTAGTAAAATAAACAATTCAGTGAGACAGCTGCGACTGGTAATGGGACCTGAAGTAAAAAAAAAAGATAAATTGGAACTTTGCAACCTTTTGAACAGTAGGAATGACATCTCAACAAAGAAGATATAACTCAGAGACATGTACCAGCTTGTCATCAATCCTAGAATTTACTTAAGGGAAAACTGACTTTAAGAATTTGTTGCTGCTTCTTCCAGTACCAGCTGTGGACTATAGGACATTCCTGTTGTAGAGATAAACTTGGCATCACTCATAATTGCTGTTGTTTTCAAACCAGCAGGGAACATTTGGGATTTATACAAAAACAATTGGATAAATAACTTCATAGTCTTATCCACTAGACTTCATTCAAAGGAGCAGGAACTTTTTGTTTATATAGACTTATCAGTCAAAAAGAAAGGAGACAGGAGTCTAGCACACTCAATGTTTGGCTTTCTTACCAAGAAATACAGTTTTTAATGTGTGTTGTTCTTTCACCTGCTACCAAATCACTATATACATTTGGGAATGCACACATGTACCATTCCAGCTAAATGTGGTCATTTGATCTTTCACTAAACACTGAAATTTTTCATAGTCCTAGATTTTACATCAAGATTAAGGTAGTCGTTGCTTGCAATATTGCTTTAGAATATTACACAGTTTGAAGAAGCAGCCCTGTTGACATAGCTATTATTTCTGCTTCTGGGTTGCTTCACTTCCTTCCTATGCAGTAACAGTCATAAGCCCCATCTTACAGCCAGACCTAGATCAAGGCTTCTCATAGACAAAGAAGAGAAAAAAAACAATGGGTCTCTTACAGTTTTGTAGGAGGGCAGACAGGGAAGGGGATGGGAGTAGCAGCTGATGATAGAATCAGCTAGGTTGGAAAACACCTCTTAAATCACCAAGTCTAACCATTGCCCCAAGACTGCCAAGTCCACCACTAAACCATGTCACAGCCTCATCTACCTGTTTTTTGAACATTTCCAGTGACAGCAATTCTACCCCTTCCCTGGGCAGCCTGTTCCAATGCCTGATCACCCTCTTGGTACAGAAAGTTTTCCTAATACCCAATCTAAACCTCCCCTGGCACAGCTTGAAGCCTTTACCTCTTGTCCTACCACCTATTACTTGGGAGACCAATCCCCCACCTCACTCAATCCTCTTCTTAGGTATTTGTAGAGAGCAGTGAGGTCCTCCCTGAGCCTTCTCTTCCCCAGACTAAAGAGCCCCAGGTCCCTCAGCTGCTCCTAATCTGACTTGTGATACAGACCCTTCACCAGCTTCATTGCCTTTCTCTGGACTTGGTCCAGCACCTCAATGTCTTTCTTGTGGTGAGGGGCCCAGAACTGAACACAGGATTCGAGGTGCAGCCTCACCAGTGCTCAGTACAGGGGGATGGTAGCAGAGAGGCCATGCAGCTTCCCCTGCAGCAGTAACTGCCATCTCGCACAGCTCAGCTGCACCTTCAGTGATGGTGGCAACTTGTTTTTCCCATGCTGTAGCCCAGTGAACCAGATTTAGGTTACTTTCTAACCTAAATCTGGCAAGCAGCAAGGCCATGACTGTGCTGCAGCTGCCCCACTTTGCTTATATGTGGAATAAACTGTTGGCAGTATTAAATCTGGGTGAGCTTTACGGGTTCGTGCATGAAGACAAAAGTAATAGCCCAGTTACACCAGAATACACTGTGTCCTCTACTCAAACTGTTATATGACTTCCTTGGAAACACAGCTGACTTGTGACACAAGCTTGCGAGTGGTTCCCTGGGGAAAGCGCCATGGTTTAAGACCGATGTTTAATGTAGGAGTTAAAGACAAAATCGTAAGGGGAGTCCAGCACCACCGAGCTGAACGCTCTGCCAACACTGGCAACAACTTAGCAGTCACCTTTAACATTTCATTCCAAAACCCATCTGCCTCGAGCTCCGAGGCCGCGTTCACTGCTCCGGAGCGCGCCCATTGCCAGGGCACAACCCGCAGCACCGGGGTGCGAGGCAAACGGCGCCAGCGCAGCTCCGCCGGGCGCGCCCCACGCCTCAGCCCGGCCCGGTCGGAGGGAGGAGCCACGGCCGTGGGCGGGCCCCGCGGCCCAGTTCCTGGTGTCGGGGATGGCGCGGGGTTGCGGTGCCCAGCCGCGCTGCCTGCCGTGCTGCCTGCTCCTCTGCCTGCTGCAGCTGGCGGCGGCGCGGGCGCCACCCCCGCACTTGGTGCTGGTGCTGGCCGATGACCTGGGCTGGGGCGATGTGGGCTGGCACGGCTCGGCCATCCGCACACCGCGGCTGGACGCGCTGGGAGCGGGCGGCGTGCGGCTGGAGCGGTACTACACCCAGCCGCTCTGCACGCCCTCCCGCAGCCAGCTCCTCAGCGGCCGCTACCAGGTAGGACGCGGATCGAGGGGGACACGGAGCCCCGGAGGCGCTGCCCGGCGCGGCGATGCCCGCAGAGAGCCCCGGGCAGCCCCCTGCCACCGCTGCTTCCCGCCACGCTGCAGCGGGTGGCAGGTGGGGGGCTCTCCTCTGCTTGCTCTGGGCAGCGCTCTGTAGTTTGGCCTCCTTGTGTCCACAGAGGGGCGCTTGGAAGAAGGCTGCTGTGTGAAAACCAGTTGTGTTTAAATGCAGACTCTGGTTTGCTCGCTCGGGAGCAAATCAAACGTGGGTTTAGTGCAAGTTGTTCTGCTTCAGAAAAGCCGAGGTGCTTCCTGTGCTTCAGTTGGTTTAACAGGCATGGCAGTGTATTGTGAAAAATATCCCTGTACCAGTCGTCTTCTCCTTACATGCTGCTGAACTGGACAGGCACGCGGAGAGGACTCATCCAGAAGTGAATCAACGCCGTGTGTTCTGTTTGTGCAGCATCTTTTCCAGTGCGGCATCTTTTCCAGGGCAGCGTTTAAATGCATCCTAGCCTATACATTCTCCTTCATGGTACTGTACATGTAGATATTTATATGCCCCTTGACGGAGTGCACACAGACATCCTTAGTCTGGGTGTCCAGCTGCTTCATAGTCATGGTTTTCCCCATTTTCTATTTTTTTTCCTGTTGCACAGGTGTAAGAACTGGACTTTATCATACTGCGTACTTCTGTGCCTTCCTCCCCCTTCTTTCCTTCCCCCCCCCGCGCATTCCTTCGGGAAAAGCAAAAAGGGCAGGAAGAGGACTACAACATGGACAGAAAGCAAAAGCTTATGGAGGGTTAAGTGTATTTCAGAAACTTTCCCTTGCTTTCAAAAAGTCCTGCACGTACACATTAACCAGAGTGATTTATGGTTAATAAATATGGCTAAGAACCTGCCCAGAATGAAAATAAACGTCATCCTATATTAGTGGATGTTATCTTCTGTTGCTGTGGGAAGGTTGTCTTTTCAAACAGTATTTGTCCTGTTCCTAGAAAGTCCAAGAATCAAGAATAATAATGAATAGGAAGATGTAATTGACTTTTTCTTTACCCACTCTTCAGAATCTGAAGACGTGTACCTACATGTGGGTCAGGGTTAGCTGGACATTGCTGCATCTAGTCTTAAAGATGAAAATTAGAAATGCTCATAGTTTAGTTCAGGTATAAATTCATCATATACATCTGATAATTTGATCATCTTTGTGTTGACCTTGTTACAAATGAGTAAAATAATAGCAGAAAATGTAAAGGTTTGGGATTGCTCAGAGACATGAAAATGTCTCTGGTCCTATCTGGAGCTAGAATTTCAATTGTAAGCTTGCAGTCCATAAAGAAAGAAGAGCAAAGGTATTGGTTTATGAAAACAATAGACTGTTTTTTATTATTATTGTTTTTCTTTCATTTTTCAGAGGCAGTGAAAGAAATCACATTGCTTTGCTACCTTGTGTCTTTCACTATATTAATAATCTTTTTGGTAATACTGCATTTACAACAACAGCAAAAAATATTTTTCCTAGGTCCTGTTCCAAAGAAAATTTGTAACTAGTAAGCCCTTTGTAAGAGTCTACTTACCTACTTACCCCAGGGCTTATTTGGTTTAAAAGTCAATTCAGGGTGTTGCTAAAGTGATGCTTGAAAAAATTAGTCATGCAGCTTGCTACACTGGAGTGCCTAGTGGACTTATAAAATCTGTTGTCTTGTGATTTGAAAGGTCTTGAAGGTTTTGTGCTTTGACGAGACAAATTCCTAGAAATATTTAGTGAATAAGCAGGATATTTATACTTGCACATACATGTTTTCTGGCCTAGGTTTAAGGTAGTGCCTTTTTCTGGTGGAGATAGGGAAGCTAACAAAAGTCAGCTTATAGTAGAGTAACTGCAGAAGTTCCTTGAATCAAGCAGAATTTACTGCTTTGAGTACCATTGTCAGTCATGCTTCTGTAAAGAGATAAAAACTCACCACTTGTTAAGATTGGACACTTATGTGAAGCTATCAAAAGTCAGATCTAGACACTGTCAAAAACTTATGTCACCTTCATTACTGAAATGCTTTTTATACTGCTTGCACTCATTTTAAGTATGTAAATCAATATATAGGTGTGTATATATATATATAATGTCCATTTAGAAAAGAATAATGGTAGGTAATGGGTTCAAACTTAAACAGTGGAAGTTCAGGTCAGATATAAGGAACTTCTTTACTATGAGGCTGATGAGGCAGTGGAACAGGGTGCCCAAAGAAGTGGTAAATGCTCCATCCCTGGCAGTGATCAAGGCCAGGTTGGACAGAGCCTTGGGAGATGTGGTCTAGTGTGAGGTGTCCCAGCACATGGCAGGCGGGTTGAAAATAGATGATCTAAATGTCCTTTCCAACCCAAACCATTTCATGATTCTAATAGCTTTCTTAGCTTTTATCATCCTCTCCACCAGTGACTGTTCTCTGATACAGGCAAAAGGTGGGTAGCTTCGCCTGCCATGCACTTTTTTGCCTATCTCCATCCTATTTAAAATTTCTCATTCCATGTTGAGATGTAGTCCCTGGACTTCAGACAGACTGTAATGGTAATTGTTACCTGTTAGATTTTTAGATGAAAACACAAAAGGCTTTGGTTGTTGTTTGGGTTTTGGTTTATGTTGGGGTTGGTTTTTTGTTTGTTCATTTGTTTTGTGTTGTTTTTCTTCTTAATTGCACTTGATTTATGCCTGGGAAGATCTTGTTAACCCCTGTGGTGCTATTGTCTTCTTTCAGGCTACCCCTGCCCTCTGCAGGAGCCTGTAAAACTGGTGCTATCCTCTGGTGTAGCTGTGTTACTTTTTGTCCCTGCTTATAAAGTAGCCTGCAGGAGCACAGTGTAACTGATCTCTCATCCTTCTTTTATCCACTAGATCCATACAGGTTTACAGCACCAGATAATCTGGCCGTGCCAGCCCAGCTGTTTGCCACTGGATGAGAAACTCCTCCCAGAGCTACTTCAAGAGGCGGGATACGTTACTCACATGGTGGGGAAGTGGCATTTAGGGATGTACAGAAAAGAATGCCTTCCAACCCGCAGAGGATTCGATACTTATTTTGGTAATGGTTAGATTTAACATGGGCAATAAATGCGGTATAAAAATTTTTCAGAAATGGCCCATTTCTCCTAAGAACAGCAGATTTTCTATTAGCGTGTAAGTAAATCAATACCTGGGCATGCATGTTTCCGGGGTATAACTGCTTAAAATAAGATAGTCCTGCATGCCCAGGACTTACAACTTACTAAATAAAGTATAATTATTGAGAGTCTCCAAAGAGAGTGTTTCTCCCTTGGAACAAATTAATATTTGGTTCCACATTGGTTAGAAGATTTAAGGTGTAGTGGTTAGTTTGCTTTTATAAGTGTCTTTAATATGAATGTTTTCTGTTGTATCAGACAGTAGACATGGCTTGCTTTGCAAATAATGTTACGCTTCTAAAAGCTGATATGTTTAAGAGAGAAACAGACATCATAACACACTGTGTTCATGCTTTATGAATAGAGTAGCACTGGTTTTCCAGAGCCTGTGCAAGGAAGATGGTGGGAGAGCCTTTATAAAACAGTATCCAAAAAGTCTGTTGCAGGAACTCAAGAGTTAATGAAGTCAAACTCTCTGACTAAAAAAATAGTGCCAGAAATACATTGCCCAGGTCTGTGTTACTTGCAAAGCAACTTGTAGCTACATGTTGTTTATTCTTCCTCTGGCAAAGGCTTCCATCTCTGTATTGATTGGATGTTCATTGGTTTTCCCCAAGTGTCACAGATGTTATGTCTGCAGTACATCTCATTCTGCATGGTACTGAACACAAAGTGGCCCACCTCCCCTTGTTTTTTTTTAAGACACTTTCATTGAATGGAGGATTTTGAAACAGTTCATTGCCTTCAAAATAACTTTGCAAGCTATTGACAGTACTGCTGCTCACTTCTGCAGCTGAGAAAGTAGGGTACAGAGAAACTTAAACAGGAGTCTGCATTCTTCTTGTCTGACTTTAGAGCCTGGCTTTGCTACATGCCCTTTATAGACAAAGACAATCCAAACTTTACATGGGTAGAAGTGTTCCCTTAGCTTGTTTAGCTCCTTTAACTCTTTAGGGAGCCTGGGGCCACAACTGAATTAAGCTTATATATATATGTATGGATCATAACAGCTCATTGCTTAAACATGTATGCCTCCTCTCATCCCTTCACAGGAGCTTGGGATCTTTTTGGTGGCATAGACATAGGTAGGCTGTCACTCCTCATGAAATCTCACCCTGTGAACCAAGCAGGCTCTTAATGCAGGAGCTTTAATTCAGGCTGGCTCTGGGTATGGTTGTTGGGTGCCCAGTGTGACATTATTTTTCAGAGAATGCAGCAGTCTAATGTCCTATAATGTTCATGTAATTCCAGTCAGCATTTATTGCAAATAAGGGCATTTGATTCTTTGGCATAATTGATGCAATGTCTCCTCCAGTGGGCACTCAAAGTGGAAAAATGCAACTTGCGGCACCGAGTACGTGGATATAGGCAGTCTGTCCGCAAAGTCAGTCTTTATGCTTTGACAGCAAAGCCATTTTTTTCCTCCAAAAAATGTATTAGAATTATCTATTGTATTTAAAACCAAGCTTCATTCTTTCTGTACCTATTGTTTTTTTGCACAAGTAACTGAAGTAGAAGCTGCTGAATAAAAGTTTAAGTGCTGTCCCTCCATTCTGGATTCTTGTCCCTAGATTTAGTTTGATTTTGCAGAATTTAAGAATATATTTTGAAGATTCATTTTGGGGTTTTATTCAGGGCATTAGGGGATAAATCTGAAACCTAATTTCGAAAGTAATAATTACTTCAGGGCATTAGGGGATAAATCTGAAACCTAATTTCAAAAGTAATAATTACTGACATTCAAATGATTTTGAGGTATTTTGTTTCTGATTGATAAAAGGTAAAGGCACTTTATGCTTAACAGGATAAGCCCTTGATAGGTGCAAACATGTACCTGTAGAATTATTGCAGTTTTTCTTCTGGGTATCTTAGTATTCTTTCTTTTCACCAGTAGGTGTCAGCAGTGGATCTGAAATTATACCTGTTTTTGAATGAATAAATAAAACAAATTCCAAACTTTCTAATAGAGATGTCTTATGTAAAAATACAAATATACAAAATCATGCCAGCTAAAAATCAGAGTTGTACAAGGGTAGGTCACTGCCTTTTCTATGAGCGCATTAGTTTAATGCTTGTGTCTTTGATACCAAGTTACACAATCAAAAGTCACTGAACAGCTTTCAAAAGCAGTTTCAAAAGTCAGGGAATGTCACTACAGGTAGTCAAATGGTGAATGAAAGTTTCAGCTCAAAACCACTAATGTTTTGACATTTAGTCTTGACTTCTTTCCTCCTGATATACATATTTATGTGGCATGATGTTGGCTCGCCTGCTTATTTGACATCTTCTCCTGTTCTAGGCTACCTTCTGGGGAGTGAGGATTACTATTCTCATGACCGTTGTGTCCTCATCAAAGCAAAGAACATAACGCGCTGCGCTCTGGACTTCCGAGATGGAGAAGAAGTTGCTACTGGGTTTAAAAGCATGTACTCCACTAATATATTCACAGAAAGAGCTATAGATCTTATAGCAAGTCACAAAACTGAGAAGGTACAGTCAGCAGCTGTTACTTTGATAACTTCAACAGTAAAGCATGTTTGATAAAAAATGTTAATGAAATATTAATGGAGAGGCATGTGCTTGAACTGTAATTTGGGGCTCTTCAGCAGGGTGCATAGAGCTAAATGTGAGAAGTAGTGCTGGTAAAACTTGCCTTCTCTCCTGTTAGAATCACTTTTGGCTGCACAGCCCTGGCCTGCTACCCTTCTCCATTTTTTTTTTTTTTAGTACTACAAGTAAGGAATTTATAAAAAATACAAATAATAAGTTTATGGAAATGTTTTAGCATGTAGTTTGCTCTTCTAAAAAGAAAATGGAAAGTTTAATGGGAGAAGCTTCATGGGAAGAAACTCATAACTGTGTTACGAAGAAAAGATACATCTGAGTTTTTTTTCATAGCTTTGCAAAAGTCCTTCATCAAAGTTTTATTAGTTTATGTTTGGGGATTGGAAAAAAGAAATGTAGAAGAAATCAAAACACATTCCCTGCAGGTGTTGGTGAATCAGGGCTGCTTTTATTGCAGTAACTTTTTCATATAGTACCTTATGTTCAGTGGTAACTTTTTCATGTGGTACTTTATGTTCAACTGATTTCCATTCTGTCCCTTCTACCCCAGCCCCTTTTTCTCTACCTCGCTTTTCAGTCTGTCCATGAACCTCTTGAGGTCCCTGAAGAATACATGAAACCATATTCTTCCATTAAAGATGTAAAAAGGCGCCATTATGCAGGGATGGTGACCCTTATGGATGAAGCTGTAGGAAATCTTACTGATGCTCTGAAAAGATACGGTCTTTGGGACAACACAGTTCTCGTTTTCTCTACTGGTAAGTTCATTTAAATATTCTTTCAGTAATAACTTTTGATACTGTGTCTAACAAGCTGACTACAGAGACATTTTGCCCCTCTGTCCTTTCTCCATGTATTTTCTAACTATAGAAGATGTAATTTCTGGCTTGCTTTAGGTATTTCACAGACCCGTTACTCCCATGAAGCAAAGGTCTGTTAATAAAAAAGTGTAGTACGTGATGATACAGTCTAGGTTGCTAAGTTTTGTATCTACTAGCACAGGTTCTGGTTTCTAGATCTTTAGGGTAATGCAAATAATACATTAGAAAGCAGTTTCTTTTATTTCCAAATTAGGAATGAAACAGAACCTTTTTGAAATACAGCTGCTTGGCTGGGTTTCAGGAGCATAGTTGCTCTTGTTTGGTTGGGAGTGGAAAGTAGCCTTTCAAAGGTTACAGTTGCTCTTTTACCCAGGCTTTACATGTTAGGACTGTCAAAACAGCAGATCTTTCTCTGTAAACACTTACAAAAATCCCAAACAACAACAACAAGAAAACCAAACCCAAGGTTAATGAAAATGCAGTGATGTGTTTTGAGTTTAGCAGCTGCTTCCTATAGTGCTTGGAATCTTGGAATTTCATTTTGAGTTCAAACCTCTCTGCCTTATGGTGTTACACTATGTCCAGGTTTTGGCTTTGGTAGGATTTGGTAACTCTTCTATGGCTGTTTCTGTTTGTGATGTTTTTATATTTAGAACTGAAAGTAAGCAAAGCCATATGGAAAATTATGTCAGTATTTATCCCATATGGAAAAAATACAGTCTTTGCCGTGGGGGTCCTGATAGGGTTATTTCAGTAATGTTTGTTCGGTATATTGTGGAATAGAATTGAAGACATCTGAGCTGGAATTACAGAGTATGACTGAATTAAAAATACATTTTGTTTTGGTTTGTTTTTAAAACTTTTTTTTTTTCAAAACAACGGCAGTATACCCTGATTTTGACAGTAGTTATCTTGCAATCAATTACAGGTGTGTTTCAACAAGAGTCAAGCAGTTAGGAGAATCCAGTGTCTTCCCTATCTAATGGGGCTTATCTTGAGTTAATTGATATTTTAAACTGCCATTAGGGGGATTTAGTATGACTGAAATGCAAGGAAATTTGGCCTAGATCAAGCAGGCCGGGGGCAGTGATTTGGGGTTTTTCAGTGCTATCTCTTCAATTCAAACAACTATTCTTTACAAGCATAAATATTGCATACATTAAAGACCCAATTTCCAGAACAATGAAATGTTGAAAACATTAAGTATTAAAAAACAAAGACAAAAAAAAAAGAAAAAAAGTTTTTTTTAATATATATTGCTTTTGCAGGTGGAGTGTTTTAAAATGGGCATTAGAACATGGCTGAAAAGAAAACAAAAGGGTCTGCAATTAAGCATTCTCACATAGCACAACTCTCTGCACAGCTTTCAAGTCCTTTGTAATTGCAAGTCTTACTGTGCACTGGAAGCCATAATATAGGCATATATTTATAATACAGGACCTTCAGCTCCTGAGGGCATGCCTGCTCAGGGAAACTGTGGCCCCTCTCCCCACCCCAAGTGCTGTCCTGGTACTGGAGACCCTCCTCTTGCTTTGTACAGCAAGACACATACACATTTTACCCTACTATCTGGTGTTCTCTCCAAGAAATCTCTTCCCATGTTGTGAGGTTAAGAAAAATTTAAGTATTTAAATGAAGACTGCAAAGGGAGAAGCTAGGGAAAGATACAGTTATCTGTATTTTTCATAAGAAAATCTGTGTCTCCTCTGCATAGTAGTTAAACACACATGATCATAAAAGCACTCTGTTTTGTTATAAACCTGTATGGTTTGATAACTGTAGTATTGAAACCTGTAAAAGAAAATTAAGATCATACTTTTAAGGTAGATTTTACTAGATTTGTTGCTATTCTCTGTTCAGGTATCTCCAAGATTCACACTTGGATATTTGTATATTTCACTGTTTCAAAATTCCTCCCCCAAAAGTAATTTACAAGTGTTAATTTGCTATTGTGTTCTGTAGGGAGTAGCACTGCAACATAGTGTCTTCCAGTTGATTCCTTCACTGTGCAATGTAACTCCAAAATTAGAGAGTTCTTTTTAGTGAGTGGTCATTGAAATACTCTAGAACGTGATCTAATCTTTGCTATCATGGTAGATTTAATCTTATTAAACTCTTTTGTTTTTCTTCTTATTTGTATATATTATGGCTCAACCAGGATTGCCTTGAAAACATGCCAGTTGGCAAACGGAAATACTGCACATTTTAAAGGGCCTTGTAAAATGTGTAGAACAACTCTAGTTCCTCCCTAAAGTGGCCTCTTGGAGACACCAAGCCAAAATGAAGTAATCTGGTCATTAGCAAAGTCTGACTCCAACAGTATAAGGTGTAAATCAACATCTCTGGTCTTTTTGAACAGCTACACAAGTTAATTATACATGTAACTAAGAAAAAGATGAGCTAGTTCAATGGTATGCGGTGTTATATTTGTGTATCAAGTAGTAGCTTGAAAAGTCTTGACTGGTGTGATATGAAAATGATTTGCTTTAATGGAGCACATTTTATACCGCAGATACAAGTACGTCTACACTAATGTGGTGAAAATGAAATCATTGCCTGTTTAAATGAAACAGATAAAAATGGGTGCAGTACTGTCTTGGGTACCTTTGGCCTTTTATGTATGCGAAATAAAAAAGAATGAGATGTAGGGTTTATTTTTCTTTTTACTAAACATAAGAGACTGTAACTACTGGCTTTCCTGAAGAGGGCCTTGATTTAAAATAAAGGTCATAAAAAGCATTCAAGTGATACGAATTTACCTCAGCACTATTAACACTGCCTTAGAATCTAGATTGTGCTTCAGATACAGGCCTATGATTTCAGGTAAGAAGTGTAAATTTGCTGTAAATACCACGTGTTTATAGTTTCTGCAATGTATTACAAGTAATTTTGGTGGAAAGTTGCCACCATTAGAGCAAAGGAATCCAACCTCTAATTTCAGTTCTGTATTAAAGCTACTATCCTTTGTTTTATTTAACTTTCAGCTTTTTAATATACTGATTTTGCAGCTAAAATCATTACTAATTTTTCTTACAATATGCATTCTTAGAAGTGGATTATTGCTGTAGTGTCTGGTGATTGCCATGAGAGGGCTTTGAACAGCAAAAATACGTGAAGCTTTTCAAGCCTTGGTTTACATTGCTAAGAGGAAAGCACATAAATCCTTTCCATAATGGAACATGTGACAGTGATGACTATTTTCAGCCCAAAAGAGGGTCTTTTTATCATGTTAGAGTTATGATTAATAAGAGCACAGATTGTTTTGAACATACTTACTGATGTTTATACAGTCCCTCTCTAGAACCCCTAGATTCTCCCTCCATCTCCCCAACTTCATATTACCCTATTAATTATTATTTTTTTCTCAGTCTCTTCCCACCCTCCTCCATCCAGTGCATTGTGGGGTTTTGTCTAATAAAATGTCAGGATTTTTTTCACTTGATTCCAGCTCTTTCTTCGGTAGAAATCAGGGATCTGACTTTCAACTGGTTCCCTGAGGGCAGATTTTATCTTCTCCCTGATGTCTTTGCTCCTGAGTGAACTTCTGCTCCTTCTCTTTTGCTAGTAGGAGACTTCAGAGAGACTTTTAATTGCAGGTTGCTCAGGCCAGCTGAAGAACAGATTGGTTAGAGCAGTTATTCTCCGGGTGTGGTGTCAGAGGTGCTCATTTTGAAGGTCGTGTTGTCACATTTTTTTTTTTTTTTAGTAAACCTGCACAATTACAGATCTGAAGACCTGCTTTAATTGGTCTTGTCAGGAGGTTCTGAGAGGTTTGGTGCCTTGCCAGCGAGGAAGATGCCTAGGCATCTACTGCCTGAGCATCTGCTACTTCCTAAGAGGAATTAAACACAGATGCCTTAACTGCAAGCACCTTCAATCAGACTAGTTATTTGAGTCCATATAATTTCAAATAATTTTCTATTTCTTGATTATTTAAGCTTGTTGTTATAAAGGCAAAAGTTGTGGCTGGTCACTGTACTTGCATTTGTCAGACATTGCATGTCGATAAATTGTGAAAAGCTTGTGCGGCTGGTGTTTTGTATTCCATTGTTGGCTTTTATTCTTAGTCTTTTTCCACATTAAAGTGAGGGTGGTAAGAATGAATTTTTTAGAAATAAAAGAACATCTTCTGTGCTATTGACTGTAGATGTCAGTGAGAGATCTAGGCTGATTTGTAAGAATATATTATCAAGGACGGAAATGTTATCATATGATGAAAATTAATTTCAAAATAAAAACTGAGAAGATGTTGATAGTCAATATTTTCTCCCCGTCTTGAAATCCTGTGAAAACTCAAAACATTTTGTAGGAATTGTTTATCTTCCCTTCCTTCTATCATTTACCGTTCCCCATCTACTGTGCTTTTTCCTTGCAAAACCTAACACTCCAAACCCGAGTTCCTGAACAGAGGGTGACCTTGTGCAAGAGACACTCACTTCTTTTTTCCCTTTGTGTTTAAAAATTCCAGCATAACTGGAATCTTTTTTTTTTATTATTTTTTTTTTCCTTCCTATTTTTCAGCAAATGCTAGTGCTTCAAGTGAAGTTCACTTGTAAATGAAACTCAGAAGTTAATTTTGCCCAGAGTCACAAGCTGGCCATTTTTCTGTAAAGCTTTTGCTTAAGCATGCTAATAGTTATCCTAGCAAATTTTATCTCTGGTCTGATATGAATGCTAAAAAACCCTCATTTTACAGGCTAGCAATGTTTAGTAATTTCCCACAGCTCTCACAAGGTTGTCTTAAACTGTGATTACTTTTAAACTAATCTAGTTTGTTCTCCATAGTAGTGTTTAAGAAGCCGTTATTCTTGCCAGAATCAACACCCAAATCACCGGTCAGGTTCAGTGTTCTGTCACTGGGACAAGTCCAAAGATTTTTTGACTGTGTCTCATTTATCTTGTTACCACAGACATACGAACATTGTCAGGTTATTGAT